GAGAGAGAGAGAGAGAGAGAGAGAGAGAGAGAGAGAGAGACCAGCCGGACCAAGGCGGCATTGGATGACCGGTAGTCACGCAGTTGACTCGTGGAGCTTTTAATCTCGAAAATCTTTGGGACCTTCGAGCGACCAAAGGAAAACTTTCGCAGTCCGTCCGGTACTCACGACCGGCCGAACGACCGCGCTTCCATTCGCTTTTTCCTCTTCTCTTTGCCCAGCTACTTCCGCAAACATCATTCGCAAATCTCTATATAGTGAAAAGAGAGCATTGCCACTCGAACTTCTCGTATTTACCGACGAATTAGGGATCTGTAATCTGCCGCGAAAAATTTGACTGCAAATAAAGAAAAAGAGCAAACTGGAAAGGAATTAAAATATTATTGTTGCGTTAAAAATATGTAGTTTCGTCACTTACTGTGAACACTGAAAATCTATAGTATACGTAACGTAAACTTTTAAAACTTTTTCAGTATTCAAAGTGAATAACGGAATGCAGCCATGATGTGTACTTTATTCGTTACATTAAATTTAAAAGCGTTTATTCTAGGTGAAAACTATTGTATTTGGTATTTTCGGAGACACATAGTTTAATACAACAGGACATAGTCGCACGAAGTTTCGTACAACTTCGTTATATGCGCACATGTACGACGGGTTACATGTCAAATGTGCGTGCAAATTGGATCAGCAGATCGGTTCGAGAAGCCCGTCGAAATTAATATCCGTTCCGTTAGTTACCAGAGATCCGATACGAAGGGCTTAGAATGCATGATCGCTTCGTGGTGTAGACGCCTGCCCGCAAGTACAGATTAGATCAATGCGATGTGTTGTGCTTGAATACAGTATATACTATGTACATACATCAGCAGTCTTAGTGCAGTATATTCGCGACATTATCAATGAATACGTTACCCGATGACGAATCTTGTAATTCAGTGCGTGCTTTAACTATCAACAATGTTCATCGAGGTTTCAAGTGATAAAAGTTGTTTGAGAAATCCGAGGGTCTTATCGCGAATATAGACGATCACATAACGACTACGCATCAATGCTGGCGATTCAATAATGCGTCTTACTTCCAACATATTTACGTCACGCTCTAAACATCGCGCAAAGTAAGATTAGACGCATTCGTTTCACAGAAGCTCACAATAATTGTCAGTATTCCTTCAGCATTCGCGGAACGCATGGCGACGAAATTAGCCGACGACGATAACTCCGAAACAAGTGTCGCGCCGAGCGCGCTTACCAGTTGCGGGTACCGCTTCACGAAGCCCCAAAACTTCGTGCCAAATATTCGCGCGAACGCGAAACCAGCATTCCGCATACACATGCGTACATCTCACCGGAAGAGCGATGCACCGCAGGGACAATAACCACGCCATTGTAATGAAAATTCCGCCATTGGCGCGGCAGGAAAACAGACCGACAAAGTCCGGCCGCAAATCCTCCAAAAAGTTTCCCCAGAAAATGCTACGCTCGTAGAGAACTCTCCGCGTAGGTTACTTGCGCAAGCGTGTGTGTACGTGTGCGTGAGCGTGTGTGTGATGCGCTCGTAAGCAGCGTGTCTCCCCAGCATGCGGTCCCTTGCTTATACGTAACACACGCAAGAGCCGGCACGCACCGGCGATACTCTCTAACACTCGGCTTCCATAGCCAGCTAGCAAGGCAGTCAGTGAACCAGCCAGCCAAGCCAACCAAGCAACCGTCCGTCCGTCCGTCCGTCCGACCGACCGACCAACCAACCAACCAACCAACCGACCATTCCACATTCCATTCGATGGTTCTCTCTCTCTCCCTCGACACCATAATGAAGTCAGCCCGGCGTTCTAAGCCCCGGTAATATCGCGTGGCAGAGCACTCCCCGAGATAATATTGGTGATGTATGCTAACGGGCATTTCGTTGCCCGAGGTACGTTTTTACGTTTTTATGTTCCACTCGTACCGTCCGTTCTCTTAAACGATTTAGCACGAAGCGAGAAAAGAGATAGGATAAAGAGGGGGTCAGGCATCCCCCAAGAAAAACGCCGGGGAATTTAATCCCTCGTGTATTTCGCGGAGAAAAGTGTTTCTCGCACGTATGACAAACGAGCCGTAAACCATCGACGGTTTCGTCAATTTTTACCTGATAAGAGGTGGAGGGAGGGGGGAGTTAATATTTTAATTAGATCAATCAAGATAACGAAAAATAACTAAAATTTTCATTTTGCGAATTATTTGAGGAAATTATTATCATTCGTAAAACTCGTGATTTTGAAAAAAGATGAGTAAAGTTCCCTGTGATTAATTTCGCGTAAAGTCTACCTGCATCAAATACACTAATTGTATTTCATTAAACGTAGGTGCGAACGATCGAGTTTACTCGTTCGCACAATTTGTATTGCAAATGGCTGATCGGCGCAGCAAAACGTTCCCGGAAGTCACAATATTTAATTTAGAGGATTGCAAATTAATCACGATCAATATCCTGATATAAAAGTTGCACAGCAATCGCCCATCGGTTGTCGCGATTGAAACGCGTTACTATCATTGTTATAAATAAAAAAAAATAATAAATGGCAAAAAGCGCGAATGAAACGTGCTCCGTTATCAAATAAAATTTCAACAAATGTTTACATTATTAATTATTGCCTTAATTTACATTCGAAATAATAACGTGCGAAGCTACTTTTATGCTCTACGTGTATTTCTTCCGGCATCAATATTGACCGTGACAAACATTGCGTAATTTATTCAGCGGATTACAACTATCATGGCGTATTAGCCTCGAAAACGTGTGTGAGCGCGAGATATTGTGTAAAACTCGCTATCGGGCGATAACATTCGATGAGAAAACGAAAAGTCACGATACCACGTGGCACCGCTATCGCTACGCTCTTCCGTTTCCGCTTCCGCCCGAGTCCGGCCTACCGTAACTAAAACGAGCTAGGCTTGCGCGGTTCACGCAAATCTTGCTACGGGAGATATTCGCTCGTGCTCACTGACCATAGGTATCTACCAAAAAAAACACACAACGATGATCCTACGGTCATTGGAAAGAAAAGCAATCGTCGGTCAGTGACCGACGCACTTTTTACGCTGATCATGGGATCATTATTTAAGTATATCTGACCTTTATGATGCCTGAGGTGAGAACGTCCGCAGCACGGTTGTTCGAAATATGCGTGTCCGGGGTGAGCACCGGTTGGCCTGCTGGCCACGCTGGGACCTAAAAGTTGTCCCAGGACAGCTGCGAGAACAGCTGCCCTAACCATCGTTGTCACGGCGTCCGGTAGTAGCCTCTGCCTTTGCATGGTCACAGGAAAAATAAACAACACTTTTCACTATATTCTTCACGTTCCTTCTTTCTTTCTCTCACTCTTTCGATCTGTCAAGATACGATTCTCGCGGTCTGTTCTACCGTCGCCAATTTCGGTGCATTTCGCGCACAACAGCCGTCACTCTGGCACGTCTAATCCGGGCCTTGACGAAGCTTACAAAGGACCGCGTGGGCCACGATGCCCTGGCCTTGAGTAGAAGGAGGTAGAAACTCCGGGCCGCAGCGTGGTTGTTGCCCTTTGCCGCTGGCAACGACTACGACGACGACCGTTCACCGGCGTGTAAAGCGTCTCTCTTCTCCTTTCTCTTTCTCTTTCTCTCTCTCTCTCTCTCTCTCTCTCTCTCTCTCTCTCGATTCACTCGCCGTCCTGTTCCTGCGGCACAGGTACACTCCAAGATAGAAACTCGACCGCGTGTTGCTCCGTTCAGGTCGTTCTCTCTTTTTCTCTCTTCTTCACTTTCGACTTCTCTCCTTCTTTTTCTTTTCCGCGCTGCTTCAAAGGACAAAGGAATTCTCTGTCCTATGCTTTTTACTCCTCGTATACAATTCGGTGCCCTTAAAGTGCCCAGGTAAGTCTTTAAACAATTTTCTAATGACGCAAATGTATATTTCTCACAAGATTAATTTTTTCTTGAACATCTAGTATTATCTACGAGTTTTGACCATTTAAATGGTTTTTATCTCCTGTCAATTGTATCTGAGGAATGCATTCGTCATGCGTTCTAACTGTTGTTATTGTTATTACGTTTCTTGATACGGAGCACAACACTGTAGATATCCGAATCGGGTGCGAGTTACCAACTGAGAAAATCTTGGTTAACTAAATATAAAGAACGAGACGCGTACGATGGTCACATCTGTTGCTCGGAGTCGACGAGGCTGCGATCTCGGAGTTTACGGAAATAACGTTCCCTATCGCGTATACATCCTCGCGGTGTCGGAAAGTAGTTGCAGACGCGACGCGTTGGCGATACACGTCCGTGCATCCGTCACAACATGATCGGAGCAGTCGATCGAGCGCTAGATCACCAAAGACAAAAGGACGCGCGTCGCGAAACCCGTCGACCGAACTTGGTTTACCGAGCGACGACGACTGCATAGACCTCCCTCATTGGAGGCCGCGGCACGACTGTTACCCTCTGACGCGCGTTGCCGCGTTCAGTTATGCTCGGCGCCGTTCGGTCGTCGTCGGCTCCACTCGGCCGAAGCTGCTCCAAAGTCGTGCCGCACGACTCCTATATGATCCATCCACGGCCGTTCTCTTCACAATCCGCGTTATGTACTCGCTCTCACCGCGAAGAGGCGAGGAAGCGTCAGCCCTCGATATTTCTCGTAACCCTGGCGCGCCACCCGCTCCTTTATGGCGACTATGAAAAATTTTTAGGCCGCCGCGCGACAGAGCGGGACCCGCCGGAAGAAAGATGCTCCAAGTCGGACTTTACGGCACTTTCGTGGCGGCACCGTCTCTGAATTATGAAGAAGCTCTGCCCTTTTTCTCTTTTTTTTTTTTTTTTTCTTTCCCCCGGAACGTCAAACGAAACGGACCGTCTTACTTGCCGTACCTTTCGACAAAGCCGATAAGCTCTTTCGATTCACGGCAAATCTTCCGGTGGGTTTTTCTCGCGATTATCGAACTCCTTGCTCCGCTTATCAACGAATGCAACGAATATTAATAATATATATTAGAATCGTAACACTCTGTATACAAAAAAAACGAGATATTAAAATTATCGTCCATAAATTCGAAATGACAAAATTAATTGTTACTAATTTATGCTACATCTTTGAGATAAATATTTTAAATATTTAAGATGAATGAATAACCTCGGTTTTGAATAATTTCAAAACGTTTCCACTTATTTTTTTAATCATAGATTCTATAAGTGTTACAGGTAAATTCACTTTGCAAAATAAAAGCGTAATAAATATTTAGAGGAATAAAAATTTATGATAGAAAATTGAAAAAATGTAAAAGGATCATACAATTGTATGAAACTTAAAAATAAAAGAATTAATAATTAAACGTCTATATATATACGTAATACGTTTCGGTTTGATAGTTGACGCAAACGAACGCTAATTGAAGTAAAACGGTTAACATGATTATGCCGACTAAATCATTCGGTTAGCGAAAATTCCGTTAGCGGTCTACTGAGTGTATGCAAATGTAATTACGATGCGAAAGCGAAATCTTGTTATTCTAGGTGACTATTCATATTATTTGTATAAAGTGAGCGAAATGAAGAACGCTCGACGTGATTACGCAAGTCAAATTGTCGTTTTTGCGAATCATCTATTTTCAATATCAGATCTTTCGTTATGAAACGTACACGAAGGACAAACGAGAGACGTTAAACGGCGTCCCCTGCCTCGAACTAAACGAAACTGGAGAAAAATTATCACGATGCATGATCAAAATTCACTTTGCAGCTGCACGGTGTATATCGCTCCCGCTATCCGCGTTACAAAATCAATTCACATGACGTAGGGAATTTCTGAGGGGTTGAGATACACGTCCGACGCCGCCGTAACGTTCGCTACATCATGCGTATACCGATACAAGTCCGAAGGATGCCGCGCGAGAACGAAGTCAAGCGACGGGGTATATGAATAAGTCGATATGCTAATGCGAAAATCTTGCGAAGTTAGCTGAGCCCAAACTGAGCCCTGAAGAAAGTTGCGCAGAGGCCACAGTACAAAGTGTCACTCGGAAGGGGATACAATTTTGTACCCCTCCATAGACACGCAGCGGGGGTACCGGGTATTACGACTTTAGTGGGTACAGGCCACTTTCCTTTGTTGCTTACGGGAGACGAGACTATATAGTGGAGGCGCAGTCTACGACGGTAAGGGAAGTCGTAAGAATTTTAGAACAAAGGGCAAACTGGTCGGGGAGGAGGAGGGGGGGGGAGGGGGAGAGAGTACCATAGAAGCCACGGCTTTCTTAGCATTCTCTCTCTTTACCACTCTTGTGATACGAGAGGGTCGGTGCGACCAACAAATCTACCGGCCGCTCTATTCCATTTCATTGAAATAGTTTAGAATTGCATGAGGCTACTCGGTCGTCCTCTCTTGTCGTTGTGCCGCTTCTTACGGCCGCCCTTTATACTTCGCCACAGGTTCATCTACGGCGTCGCTTTTTCGGGATGCGTAAAAGAGCAGTGAAAGCGGGCAGCAAATCGCCGGAAAAACCGTAAACTGCATTTCGCCGGTACCGTCCGCGTTTGAGAGATAGAGCGTCGTCGGTGCACACGACACGAGCAGGTGCGCATGTGTCTAGAAAAATCGCGTCCGTCGCGAAACACTCGAAGGTAAGAACTGTTCCACGGTGAATACGCTAAAGAAACTGCGAGATGTCTGATGCGTTTTATGGAAAATTGTATAAAGCGCGAATTCTATGATAAATGTCTGTTCGCTTGCGACATCGGAATTGAACATTCCGCTCGTCTAAAAGTAACAATTCGATAAAGACTGTCATATGTCTAATATGGTAATATAAGAAGAGAGATATCTCCGAATAGAATCGAGGAGGAGATGTTCTATTTTGACAGTGGAAAATCATGCTCTTTACATTAGAAAATGATCAGTCATGCAACTCGATGTTATACTTTGCGGTCCTTCATTAGTTCTACTTCAATAGTGGCAGACGTCGTAAGACGCGAGTGATGAGACGGTTTCAGCGCGGGCGATATTAAATATTCAAAGACGTCAAATCGAGTCCACATTATCCTCTTATTCCACGGAGGCGCTTCGCATACCTTTGAAGCTCCCACGCCTCGTTGCATCCGAGTCGCGAATCGACGGATCCCTTTTTCGTACGAACGAATCGAAAATATTTGTCGCCACGAGGATCAACAAAATCCGTGTCCTTAGTCGAGCGTTGCTCCACATGTCTCGTGATTTTCTACGGACTTCTTGCCTTTTCATTTTCATAGTCATTCTTTCATCCTCACTCTCGGAAGAAAACACGGCAAGTACACAAACCCAAATTACTTTCGATATATAAGATAAACAAAAATATCAAAAATCGATAAGTTACGTTGCATGCGGAAGGTCTAATTTCACATAAATTTTACGGCAAGAATATTCGTGACAGATAACGATATATTAAACTTTCACGCTTACAAAATAATCGCCACAATTATCGTCTAATACGTGTCGGCGGCTGAGAGGCATCGTTCAACCATATTGCACGCAAAGCCCCAAATAGCGCCGTAATTACCCAGCTGTCTCATTCTTATTATTCAGTGTTTCCTTCCGCCGAGAGACACGACAGCGCGGCGGTATCTCCCACCTCCCTCCATATAATCGAGACTCGCCTACAATCTTATAATCTCGACGCGTTCCTTGTAACCATTTCTTCTTCCTACCTCGGTGTGCCCTTTTTCCACCTCTATGTCAGTCGAAAGGTGCGTCCGTAGAAGGGCAATCTGTTAAATTATACTTAATATCTATGCGGCACGGTTCTCACTTATCCCTCATCCAAAACACACGGTACGCATCGAGATCTCATCTCGTTTAAGGGGAACGAAACGCACAGCCCGTCGCCTTGCCCACATGGGATCTGACTAACATCTCACTTAGCTGTAAAAATCCGTATGTTCCTTTGTTCCACGAAATCCGCTTAACTACAGCTTTATCCCGTATAAAACATCGAGCGCGGAGACGTCAAAGAAAAATGTTGAATTTACAAAGGCTACGCTACGCGTATGGTTCTGCTGGTTTCACTTCGAAAAAAGGCATTAAATTTCGATGTAAATGGATTTCCGAGTCATATAATTTAAAAGAATATCGAGTAAAAGATTTTATATATTATGTATAGGGTGTCCGCGAACTGATAATATAATCGGGATGAGTATACATGAAAAATAAGTCGAAATCGCAGAATAAATTTTTTTAATACAAGGCTTTGTTTTTGAGAAAATCGATTTTAAATATTCACCGAATACGTGTGCACTTAATTATTTCTCGATTTAATGGATCTCACTATAGACTATTATCTCTGCTCGTGTTTGTGTTTATTATTTGTACCAGGTAACCGAGAATTTACAATAAAAACAGGATATTCATGCACAATGAAATCTTGTTATCTTATAAATTGTTGAAAATGTTCCATTCTGTCGAATATGCTTTCTGTTCTTTAAAATAAATATATCTGTAAACACTTTCTAACGTGTTCTGGTTCTTCAATTTATCAATTAAATTCGTGTCCGACACAATTTTTTTAAAAACAAAGTTTTATATAAAAAAATGTTTACGTTCTCTCTTCCCATTTGTACCACCAATTTACAAACATTCTGTGTGTGTGTGCGTGCGTGCGTGTGTGTGTGTGTGTGTGTGTGTGTGTACACATACTGTTCCCTTACTTTAAAAATGACACAACTATAAAAATATAATTTTCGAGTTACCATGAATAAGTTAGATAAAAGATTGTTCTATCAATCATTAAAAAAGGTAAACTAACCTAATTAAAAGTAAACTAACTTAACATCACAGTAGTCAAATAACACTTGTGTTGTTCTTAAGATTTCCGAAGAGATTAATAATATTTTCTACAAGAGTGATACATTTTGAGTTGCGTTATTTTTGTAAATAAAAAGTTTTTTGTAGAAAATATTTAGAATTAAAACACTTTGGTGATCAAAGTAAATAAGATATGTTGGTATATATATATATATATATATATATAAAAATGATTTTTATTAATCATTCAGATATGTTAGAATTTTGTACAGTATCACAATCGTCATAATTTAAAGATAGTTTTGTGAAATGAAAATGACAAATAACGACATTTGAGCATGTTTCTAAAAGTATATTATTTTTTGCCGATATTATTTAATTAAACAATAATTTTCTGTTGTGTGTGGAGTTAAAAAATAGTTTTCCCCCTTTTCTGAAAAACTTAATCTTTTTAGTTGCGTAATTTCAAAGTGTGAAGGAACGATATACATACATGCATATATAATTTCTTGATATAAGAAAATACAAATAAATTTTATATTATATATAGCTAGTAAAATAACAGAAAAATTCGATTGCTGTAGAAAAGGTTTAACAATCGTTTTTCATTAAACGATATGTTGCAAAATGGCACTATGCTTAATGATGCTCTT